GATATAGTATTAATATACAGGTAGCATTGATATAGTATTAATATACATGTAGTATTGATATAGTATGGATATAGTATTAATATACAGGAAGTATGGATATAGTATTAATATACAGGTAGTATTAATATAGTATTAATATACAAGTAGTAATGATATAATATGAATATAGTATTAATATACAGATAGTATTGATATAGTATTGCACTTTGAGAACCTGCAAGTTCCTCTAATGAACTGAAATAACTTAATTTTTGAGTCTAAACTTGAAGTATATTAAAACATTTTTTTTTTAAATCTCCTTTTTGCTGTTAAGTCAGGAATACATGAATTTTGTCACAAGCTTAAGTTTTTCTCAGCTGCTTTAAACTTTTAAGCTTATGGCGATAATACACCTTGAGGGATGTAAGCTGCCGTTAAACCTCACAGAAGAAGAAGAAGAAGAACTTTTAGGCTGTCGTTCCATATTTCACCAGAAGGTAGCAGGGAACATTCACAACATTTTCAAACTGTCTCGTATGGTGGCCCTAAGGTGTAAATGAACAACATTAGGGCCACCGTAGTTTCCAAGTTTTAAAGCTTAAAAAACAACCTTACTTAAATACAAGCTCAGTACGCAAACTATTTAAAGATTATCTAAAAAAGTTAAATCTGGTCCTCTGGACATTCAAGCATGGACAATGAGCATGCATCAGGATATTTAAAGATTATTTTAAAGGGTTTCAGATAACATGAGCTGAAAGAAGGAAACGTTGTCTTTCATGTATTTTCTGTTTTGAAGATATTTTTCTCTGTTTTTTGGGAAATAAATGATTAATTCAATAATTTATAGACTCAAGCATCGACAGACAAAAACATTGCTCTGTAATTTATAAAACTGCTAACTTATCCTAAATTTTCTATTTTGATTGTGAGCTGTGTTCGAGGACAAATAAAAAAGGTTAATTTTTTTATATTTTCATGGCTTTTTATAATGTGTGTAAAATCTTTATTTTATTTGCACATGTTCTCAAAAGAACTAAATGTGTGCATAAACATGTGGCTTCATAATACTTTTAAAAACGTGCAAAAAAAGACATAGTACTTGATGTTTTAGACACTTTTCATTTCAATTGAAATTCCTCTCAAATGAGGGTGAAATATCTTCAATACCAGAAAAACAGTCCAGTTAATTTGCTTTAAACATTTGAGACGTTCAGTAGGTGTGAAACAGAAATGAATGAGGAGTAAACAAACGCAGTCATGGAAACCGTTAAATTCTCTTAATTTATATTTTAACACTAAGATTTCTGATTTAGTGAACAAACAAGCTACTGAGCAAAATGTCTTGGTGATTATATTCAGGGGCTACAATGATCATAAAAATAGAGTGAAATGAACATTAGACAAAACAATTCACAGTAAAAAGTTTTATTGCTACTTGGCTTCATGTTAATACAAAAACAACTTCTCCGCAGAAAATAATGATAGCAGCATTTAAATAAAAATGACCGTCTTCAAAAAGGTTCAGATGAGTGAATCTATCTGAAAAACAGCAAAAGTGCTCATTTTCTATTAATGTCCTAAATAATAAGATATATTTTTAAGAATTCCTAAACTTAAGTTTTTGCAGTAACCTCCATGCTAGAAAAAGTAATGAATATGCTCCACTTTATACAAATAAATCACAATTTGTATGTAGTATACGTTTCATGTTGAGGACATGCTTTTGACATTAAATACAACTTTTGGTACTCGCAGTGATGCTGCAGTATCCCAATCCATCTTGTAGCAAAGAGGGAAATAGAAATTTGCATGAAACATGGAAGTACAAAAATAAACATCAGCTTCTTGGCATCGAGAACATAAAAAAAAAACCAATACGCAGAAAGGAGTTGTGAAATTAAACAACATAGCTACTTTGGTCACAAGTTATGAAAGTGAAGCATCTCAAATCACTTTCGTTCGCACAGAATCACAGCCGTCACATCCAACTGGCGTGCAGAAACCTACTGCACGAGTGCACGAAAGCTTCACAGAAACACAGATGCTTTGTAATTTCGTTATACAGAGAGCTTATGTTGTGCAAGAAAGGGACTGATCTAATAAAAGCGTCTTAAAAAGTCTGCTTTAATGTTCTCTTCCCTTTAGTGTAAGGGAATACTGAGTGCAACAGACCACTTCAATAAAGAATTAAAGGGAATCGTTCATTTCAATGCACATTATTTGCGCACCCCTCTTTCCCCCCACCCACTCCCCGTGCATTCAGTCTGTGTAATGGCTGACTCCTCTTCTGACTTATCAAAATGCAAACATAGTTCAAGCTCGTGCACTGTGAGGGACAACAGGTGGAATCAAACCGAAAACAGACCAAACTCGAGCCAGGGGGTTTGAAGAGCACAGAAAGTGTGACGACATAAAAATATCTGGCAGGAGGAAAAAGTCCAAGAGCCAAAGGGTGGGACATACAAAATAATATTACCACATCAACACAGCCCCCACTACACACATACACGCACCACTCAATATTTATACTAAGATGTAATAAGAGACTTGAGTTTTGTGGTTTTAGGCAATAAAATGACTCTGATCCATATTTATATTTAAAGTTAACACTTTGCATATTTTACAAGACAGTGTTGTGAAACATTCAGGATTTCTTCTGCGGTCTTGCACACCTCCAGCCCGTCTCTGCAGTGTCCATCAACGTTTAACTGACCTCTGTCCAGATGTGTCCTGATGTGTTTGAGTTCTCACCGCGGGTCCCAAACGTGGATCAATAAATTAACTCAAACTGAATTAATTAGCCTCATCAAAGTGTCTTTACCGCAACATGTGTTCTCACATTTAGGATTTTAGCAAAACATTCTGAATAAACGTAACGTCAGTGTGTGCAGTTAGCATTTTACACAACAATTTTCATTTTAACGTATTTTTAGAATCAGATAGTAAAAAATTAATTGCCCTAATTTTTTAATTAAGTATTAGTTTTAGATATGAGCAATAGCTCACGAGCATATACTTCAAAATACAGTTTGTAATTTCTTTACAAGGAATAGCAGTTATTGGAAATTAGAGAAGAAACAAGTCACAAGAGGACATTACTAATTACTACAGATTATATATATATATATATATATATATATATATATATATATATATATGAATATAAAGAAAATACCACATGTGCAATTTGGTTCTATATATTTGTCTCTAAAACTGTATCATCTTTCAAATGAAAATAAGGTTTAAATTTTACTTTAGATCATCCTTTTATTGTCAGTGTTGTTCTGGTATAAGAGATGATGTGTAAGGCTCAGTCACAAAATACATCAGTGTGTTAAAAATAAACATTTTCATAACTGTGAATATATTTATGGGCCTACAAAGTGCTTATAATAGTCCAACAAAGTTAAGTCAGTTCCTCTGGATCGTTCCTTTTTGTTGAAATGTTTCATCTTTCATCCAAAACACTTCATCGGACTGAGTTTGTTGTGGCTCCTCAGACTGACGAAGTCTTTTGGATAAAAGACAAAACGTTTCGACAAAAATAAACTTTTGTTGGATTTTTCTGCCTGGATCATCGAGCATGACTCAGGATGCTTATAACGGTTTCTTTCTTTCGAGCTACAAAATCTTGGCAAACAAAAGTGAGCGTTTCTTTGGTGACTTCTCTTTCATTTATGTGGCGCAAAGATACAAAACAACACATTAGGAGTCAGATTACTTATTCATCAATGGAACTGGAGGTCTTTAGCTTCAAATACTTCCACTGGTTCTTTAAGGCCATGAGGGACGAGTCCACCAGCAGCTGTGGGATCCCAGCTCTGCTCTACTACCCACGCAGAGGAGCATTAAACATTACAAAACTAACAAACAGAGCTGTAGCTTATGATTAAAAACATGGGGGAGGTTGCAAGAGAATAAATTGAGGTTTCCAGGTTTGTTTGATGGTAAATTAACTTGATAATTCATATATCGTAAATATGAATATCATCTTGTTATAAATAACCTCTAACTGCTTGAGAAATTAAAAAATAATTTATTATGAAGGACTGAACAAGTTGGGTGCCATGGACTGCTGCTGCACTTGTATTTTAATTATAGTGTTGAATGTGTGAGCTATGATCTCAATAAGTATTGACACATGATTAGATAATAAAAAATTTAAAAAATGAAAAAGAGCAAACTCTAATTACGGTAGGACATAATTTGCTGCTATGTGCAAACATCTGTTCAGGACATAGAAGTAAAGTGATCAAATAATTTTAAACAGTACATCGTGAACGTGTACTGCAGTGCACCACAACGCTACAGCCTCAAAAAGAAAAAGAGGCAGAAATGTAAAAACAAAGACATTTACATCTTCTAAAAGAGATATGCACCAGTGGTAAAAAAAAAAAAAAAAAAATGATGATTACTATTTGTTATATAAACAATATTATTCTATTCACCAAAGACATTTGTTCTGAATAACTCACAATCTTGTTCATGTATACCAAACACAAATACAAATACACAAACAACCCTAAAAGAACAGTAAAAAATTAATCCATGCAGGGAGTTGTTGTAAAAATGTTGATCCCACACAGACAAGAAGATTCTTGTGACCTTCCCATCATTAAATCACCAACATGGACTGAGGAGTACAAATGTTAAAGGAAAGCAGCCTCCAGTTTACCAGAACAAATATAACGCATTTAAACTAAAACATAAATACAACAACTGTTCCTTCCTGAAATTATTAGCTGAATAAATTAAACTTATGTGATTTGGTCCAAAGAAAAGTGATAATCAAGCCTCTTGGGGTCTCCAGTTCTCTATTCAAAAAAATGGTTAAATTCAAATTACAATGGTCCCTCTTTATCGCGGTTTTTCAACATAAGATTGGACATGAGACACAACTGGTTGCACGATTTGCATGGAATTTTAATTTAAAATAAATTATTTTAAATTATTTAATTAGCGCCTGCTGATCCTTTGTGCAGCCCACACTGCAGGATAAGCTTCCTCCTGCAGCTGAACAGCTGATCTGCGTGCAAAGTGGAGAAGTGGGCGTGGCCAAGAGCGCTTGCAGGTGGCTGAGAGCAGCGAAAACACAAATGTGTCAAACTCAAGGCCCGGGGGCCAAATGTGGCCCTCGTTGACATCTTATATTGCCCCCCAAGATGATACGTGATACGTAAAATTCTTCTATCTTTTGAATTTTTTTCCGTAATCTTTGATTATGATGTTGAAAGCACAACAGAGAACATCAAATGAGACCAATCAAACTCTTGTTGAGGAACCTGTGACCAAGAAAAGATGCTGGGTATCTGATTTGAGTTGATGAAGTTTCTGAAATTGGCCCTTAGTTTAAAAAAGGTTTAAATTTTGGCCCCCCTTTTTGTAAGTGAGTTTAACATCCCTGGTTTAGAGTTTAGAAACATTGTTTAAAATATTGCAAGAGTGTGGGAAGGGTTTAAAAAAATTAAATAAACTACTACTTACTACTTGTACTACAATTCCTACTTTGCGTTTTTTACTTATCTCAGGGTACGGATCCACCGCGATAAATGAGGGACTACCGTATACATTTGTATTCTGCAGAATATAGAGCTTAAGGGGAATTTTACTGTTAATAAATTATTAGCAATTTGGAGATTTTATCTCTGTGAAATTGAATGACTGCTGCTGTTCTCTGGTATGTCTGCTGCTAGTATTAAGAACAGACTGATTCAGTGTGGAAGATTCTTTGCATGTTGTGTGAAAGTGTTAAAAAACAAAACAATATTTTTAATAAGTTAAACTGGCTTATTTTGTTCAAACGTCTTCACTGCTAAGCAACACGTAGAGAACAGTTCTGAGCTCTTGGAGGTGCTGTCACTCCTCCACACTCCTCGTTCCTAATGCTTGAGCTCTCACACGTGTCGTCTGTTGAAGGCACTTTGTCAAGTTTCAGCCATAGTGCTTCTCTTCAGGAGCTCAGAGACCATGGAACCCCAGGAGAGGAGGTTGATCTTTAATGCACACTTCAGATTGCTTAACTCTCATGGTAAAGGGAAATGCTACTGTCCAAACAACACTGGATATTAGGTCAGACTTGATTTGACAGCTGCATGAGCTGTAAATCTTGTTCACCTCTGTCTTCTTGGATATTTAGAACATGTTCCTTTAGCTCACTTTAATGGCACAGTATCAGTTAATGACTAAATCCTACAGGCTTGGCATGTTCTTACAAAAGATCTGAATGGCAACATTACTGAAATATACCGTATGTATGAACCTCCACTTCCTCAAAATGGCACAATCACTTCTGCAGTCCCATGTGCTGTGACTTCCCACCTGCACTAGAGGGCAGTATCATAAACTTCCTGTTGTAGGATGGCAGCCGGGCCAGGGAGCAGGTTGGAGGCAAATGCAGGTGGTTGTGGATGATCCCATGCAGGATCTTTGAGGGCGGTGGGTGTGGATGGTGTGGAAAAGCCTGGAAGTAGAGTGGTCTGGCCTTTTAGCTGCTCCCTGACTTCCTGCTCTAAACTGGGAGGCACAATCAGCTGGTCTTCTGGGTCCTGCTGTGCAGGGGCAGTGAAGTAACCAGACTTTTTCTTGGGCGCCTCCAGGGCCACCTCAATGAGATTATGGCTGTCCTCTGGGGCAACCACCGAACCGTTGGAAAGCTTCTTCCCAAACAGGCTCGAGGTGGAAGGCGACTTCTTCAGGTCCCCAATCTCCCTCCCACATACAGCCAGAAGGCAGCCATTTGTAGCAGAAATCACCACGCTGTTTTGTCTGCGCACTTTGCCATTGCGATAACCAGAACCTCTGTTTTCAAGATTTAGTTCCTTGGGGCTCTCGGGGGGCCCAGATCGGAGCTGAAAAGCACAGCAGTGAATGTCAACCTCCACTTCTAACTTGCTGCCATTTGAGATAACGCCCTCGAGTGGAGCTTCGTCGTCACTGTCTAAGCCATTGTCAGACTGGTTACTTGAGAAGGTGGCACAAGAGGGCTGACGCTGGAAAACACCTGGGTGACTTCCTGTCCCAGTTGAGCCTGGCACCATGATCCCACACAGTGCAGTAGCAGGGTGTAAGTTGCAGTGTCTCTCTGGACGATGTGCAGAGCCTGAGGACGGGTGTTCGTCTGAAGCAGTGGACCCTGCCTCACTGCCCACCTCCGAGGTCGTTGTCTCACTGTTGAACTCGGTGACAATACCACTGCTGGATGAAATATTCTCTGGATTGTTGAGACATGGGGTCACAGGGACAGGGACAGAAACAGGAGGTGTACCCCGTGGTTCGGTGGTGAAGACATGTGGATCACAAGTGCAACCATCCTCAGTAAAGTGCAGGGACACCACCACAGCTCCAATGTTGTCCTTACAACCATAACTTTGAGCGAGGGTGCAAAGTTTCTTGGCAGCGGCATGAGGGTCTCGCACAGCCTGCACAGTGCGCACGGCCTCCTGGTAGGTCACCTGTTCAAACAGAGCTCGATTCCCCAAGATCAAGAACTCATCCTGGGAACAGAGGGGCTCGGTGTGCACCCGCGGTTTTGGAAGCACCCAGGGAGACAAATAGGAGCCGCCCAGCAGGCGGGAGCAGCACGTCACGCCGCTCACTTTGTTATCCTGTAGAAAAATAAAGCCGTTTCAACTGAATGACACAAAAACCATGAAAGAATATCCATTCATCCAACCATCCATCCATCATCTTTACCCGCTTCTTCCTTTTTGGGTCGTGGGGTCACTGGTGCCCATGTCCAGCAGTTACTGTGTGACTTTATTTTTTATTTTCCAGTGAATATAAAATGGGAATCTCCTCATTCATTCAACCTTTGTTTCTACAGGTTAGTCTCATTGAGTCATGAGGACTCATTTTCAAGAGAGACCAGTTTTAGACAAAGACCATAGACTCATAATGCTGGTGAAGATTCTTAGTCATCCAGGTCACAGTAAAACTTAACTACTGGACTTCTGTTTTGTAGCTGAAGACGTTTCACCTCCCATCAGGGAGGCTTTATCAGTCTCTTCATAATATTCACTAAGCTCTTAAATCTTTTTTCAACTCTCAACTGAACATATTGTTGTTTGTTTGACAACAACAACATTTAGATACCGTAACAAGCTTCCACACTGTCACGAAACAGTCTACAGACAGCTACAGTGTTCAAAATTAAAAGGTGGGTGAAAAAAGATGTTCAAACTGTGAGTCGACCATCTCGGTCAGGGTCAAATTTTAAAATGTATTACCTCTGTTATGATGGCTTTACTGAGTTTAACCCTCTCCATCTCCTCAGTGCAGTTTTCCAAGCTGTAAACCTTTGAGAGCGGTACAGGTCGTCCATCCCGGCACAGCACAGCCTGGCACGTGCCCACATTGGCCACAGTGAGGCTAAAGTGGCCGGCAGGATCTGAAGTCTCACGGTGAATGTAACACAACAGAGCCGAAGCACCAAGTTTCTGGCCAGCCATACCAAGTTTCCTGTCCCACATACAAAAAAAAAAGTCTTGTAGCAAACTCTTGCATTCAAAAGTTGACGATTATGAAGTGCCGTTTGTAAAGTTACAAAAATTAACAGCAGTATTTTGGTTTATTTAGCCTTTCATAAGAATTTTTTTTTTTCAAAGTCATATTTTCACCATGTTATTCATACATTTATAAATGACACAGTTCCCAACTAAATATTCAATGTCCAAGCTAAATATTTAGTTTACAAACTAAATACTTAATTGCAAGTTAAATACTTAGTTAGTAAACTAAATATTTAGGTGTAAATTAAATATTTAAATTCAAAGCTAAATATTCATTTTCAAAACTAACCATTTAATTTCCAAACTAAATATTTACTGTCCAAGCTAAATATTAAAATTTCAAACTAAATATTTAATTTGTAAGATAAACATTTAATTTTCAAAATAAATATTTAATTTGCTAACTAAATGTTTAGCTTTCAAGTTAAATATTTAGGTTAGATAAATATTTAGTTTGCAAATTAAATATTTAGTTTAGGAATTAAATGTTTATCGTAAAAAATTAAATGTTTAGTTTGGAAATTCAATATTTAGCTTGGAAATTAAATGTTTAATTTGCACCTAAATATTTATTTTACTAACTAAATATTTAACTTGCAAGTTAAGTATTTAGTTTGTAAACTAAATATTTAGCTTGGAAATTAAATATTTAATTTGGAACTATGGCATTTATAAATTTATGAATAGCATGGTGAAAATATGACCAAAAAACCCTACTTTTGTCTAATTAAAGGTTAAATAAATCAAAATATTGCTGTTAATTTTTGACTGTGTAACTTTACAAACGGCACCCCATAAACCATTGTTCTGCAAAATAGCAAGTACAACACAGAATGTAAGAAATAAATAGAGTGTAGACCTGTGCGAGGTCAGGAAAGTGTTACACATGTACAAAGTGTCAACACTGGAGTGATGCAGCTCCTCACACAGCACATCTCCCATGGTGCACTGCAGCAGCCGAGGCACTTCCTCATTGCGGTCTCCATCAAAGACACCATAACAAGCTTCCACGCTGTCTCGAAAGTGGTCTACGGCCAGCACAGACACACACAACCTGTACCAAACAACAGATCCACATTAACAAAGAGACGACTCGCGACACATGGGTTGCTCGTGAAGCCAAATAGACAAATAAAAAGTACATCAAATGTACCAAATACATTTTTAAGACGTTTTTGCGATTACAAGGATAAAAGTTCAAGCTGCACATCCCGTAATTGGCTGTGGGAAGACGTTACCTGACAGGCGTGATTAAAACTGACATGCTCTCAGTTTGAGTTTGACTAAATAGAATCTGCATTCAAGCAGCAATGCTCGACGATAAACAAAAGACAAAAACACAAAAAGCAGTACACACTTGTTTCTTTGGCCTCTCATTTCAGCGTAGCCGTGGTTCCACGGAGTAGGCGAAGTCATCGAGTCTCCTGGGGTCACAGCAGGTTTCTGGTCCACTTTCAAAGTGGTAATGTTACTAAAAAGGAGACGATACAGTTAAAAATGCAGCAAAACCAGATTAACGCTGCATGTATATTCTGTAAGCATTGTTACAAATACTTATTGTCTGTTTTAATGTTTCTGGGTCACGTGACTCACCTGAAGAAGTTGAGGGTTTGGTTTTCCAGCGTGAGGCTGCTGTTGCCCATCAGGTCCAGCTCTTGTAGCGTCGCAGGCAACAAATCAGGCAGCTGGATTTCAGTCAGCTCGTTGCAGCTGAGATCTACAAGCTGCATGAAAAAAAAGGCTAACGAGTTAAAACATGCTAAAGACGATCGTCCACCGTTCACACTGGTCTGATGAAACGAGCCTGACCTTGATCTCAGGCAGGTTGAGGATGTCGGGGAAGACAGTTATGTGATTCGAATGTGCTATGAGCGTGTGCAGCCTCTTACAGCTGGACACAGTGGACGGGATCGTCTTTAGCTTGTTGCCACTTAAATTGAGCTCCTCCAGCAGTTCCAGCTTACTCAGCTTACTGAAGACGTGCGCATGAAACATTCAAACACAAAAGAAATGGACGACGACACATCTCATTTACATCACCAGTTCCTTTGATTAGCACAGCTCAATAGGTGATTGTACTTTAAAATGTTTTAGAGAAGGTGTAATAAGAAAAACGTTCCCAGAAAACATAATAAAAGTCAGGCGACAGACCTGGCAGGGAAGGAGAGCAGTTGGTTGTAGGCGATGTGAAGGATCCGAAGGTTCTGGTGTCCAACCAGTACCGCGCCACAGTTCTCACTCAGGTTGTTCCCAGTCAGATAGAGCTCCTGGAGTGTGCTGAGGCTCTCCTCTGATTGGCTGCTGGGAGGAATACTTTCCAGGGCATTGGCGGATGCATTTAAGTATTTTAAGCTATGAACAAATAAATAGAAAATAAATCTATTTTTTGCAAATTGTGAGAATTTTTATTTTTTTTATTTTTCCAGAAAGACAGAGCTGTCAACATTATTAAAGCATTTTCCGCATTTTAATTTTCTGTACTATGTAAATCTTACAATTTCGGTTTGTATTTAAAATTTATATTTATTTTTTTATTTTACTGCCAAAAGACTGAAGAAGAAAAATTAACACATATGCTTCCTATAAGGTTAATGTTTTGTGTTTAAACCCTATTTAAGAAGTTAAACTACTACAATTATATAGTGATATAACGCTTGGGCACATCATAATTATAAATCTTTTATGTCTATAATGTTGTGCAATAATAAGAACTTACCTAGGTGGAAACATTTGCATAACATCTGTTCATTGCAGAAATATAAAGCATAAAATTATGACCCAATTACTCGGTCATTTGGGAAATGGTAATATGGCTTTATACTCTGCCAAAATTCCTGCTTTAAGAAGGAGTCTGTAATTTCAGATTTTGCCAAATTTAATAGAAATGAGGAAAATCAACTTTATGATCAACTTCAGTGAGTTGATTTTTATAATGCAAGAGTCATGTGGTCCAGATCACCACAAAACATTCTCACTAGGGCTTTAATATCAAGCTTAAAGTATTATTACCATAGTTTCTGCCGTACACAGCGCACCCCATAAGTTGCTTCAGTCCAAATATGTTTAATAAAGTGGAAAAAACATAAATAAGTCGCTTCGCCGTATAGGTCGCATCTATCATGCGTCACCGCTGACAACCTGGAAATGTGGGCCAGTGTTGTGGCAAAAATTGATTGGCTGCCAAATGGTGGCCGCGGGAGCGTGCACGGGAGGACTTAAACAAGAATTTAACAAGATTACACCTAAAAACAATTATTTATTTACTCAACTTTATAGTAAAGGTGTGTCTCAGTTCAACTTTACTTAATAAATGCACTTCAATGGTCAAATCAGCTGCATTTTGTCGGGGCGGTGCAGCAAAATTAAGCTGATTTGACGGTTTCTCCAGGTGAGCTAGACGAAGGTGGGAGGCTATGGCAAGCCGACTGTGTCATTAATAGCCACTTTTATGTATTACATGACACAACGGCATGCCTTACTACTCGACTACCATCTAGCGGCTGAAAATGGTAGTGTTGAATATTTTCCATGTCAGAATGAATGAAAACGGTCAGTCAAAAATTGGTTTATAAATATGGGGAAAATCATAAATAAGTCGCAGAGCATGCAAATTATGCAAAATGGTGCAACTTACAGGGCGGAAAATACGGTACCTTCTTTTTATATCCTATGGGTGTCAAATACCTTATTATTATAGAACCGATCATTTTAAAGCATTCACAAACAAGTTTAAAATTATCATCAGGATATCTAAAATGTTTACAATTAATTTCAGTGACATGTGGCGTAAAAACAAGTGGCAGGCAAGACAAAAACGAAAAGCATGTCTCAGTGGATCAAACTTCAAGCAGAGTCACGAAGGCTTGGAGGGCTTTTAAGTTTCTGGATTTCTGATTGTAGAAGAAGAAGTGCTGAGTCACAGAGCTATGTGCTGTGAGCACTGATGAACAATTTCCTTAAACTGCACTTTGACAGTAATTTAAACTTCAGTCATTTTGGTGTAATTGCTGTTGTTAAGTCATTGACTGTGATTATCACATGCTGAACAGCAATTAAAGGCGTCCCTGACCCCGTTAAATGTGAACTTTGACATGTTTTTGTCCGGTGTCACTAAAGAGCAGCTCATAAACAAGATAAGACTGCTGAGATCGTATTGGCTGCGCTCTTTGTCTGCCTGCAATCGTTCATCATTACTCCTGTCAGTCTCCAATGCAACCATCGGTTCTTGTATGTTATGCAGCTCTTAGACATGCCAGGAAATCCATTTATCAGAAGTCACTTTGCTTATGTTTCCACATTAGAAAGAATAAAGTGCATTTGAGTGTTTCAGCAGCTAATGGGTGTTAAGTGATTTACCACACAGGAAATAAGTGAGCAGCTGATGCTCCAGTTAAAATGCTCCCCTGATTTTGACCACAGTGTCTTTACACGATCTACACATCAGTCCCTAAACAATGAGGCACATTACCGTAACTGTCTACGGATCATTACAGGGAACACATGGCCACTAAATGTCTCAAAGTAAAGAAACCAGCTGGTGACAAATTTAGATGCCAGCTTGGGTCAAAATGGCCTTTCATAGAGTTGTTGGACTCACTTTAAGGCCTTGTAAAAAAGACTCTCGGGGAGTTCAGCGAGCTTGTTGTGCTGAAGATCAAGAGCTTCAAGAGGAACATGGTCAAGTAGGTCAGGCACTCTCTGCAAACGATTGTTTCCCACCAGAAGCTTCCTCAAACTCAAGCTGTTCAGCAGTCTGTTTGAAGCCATCAGAGACACGGGAGAGAATAAAAACAAACGATCAGCAAAAAGACAAAAAATATCTGGAAGTGCAGGCTGACACGTTGCTTGTCAGCATTCAGGCTTCAAAGTTCGGTTAGAAATGGCATCCGTGCTTTGCTTTTACTCCTAACCTCTACAACTGAATTAAGATGAAAACTGAATGAAGCTAACGTCAGTGATGTAATGTGAGCGGAGAAGTTTTCAGATTATAGCCAAAAAAAATGCTCTCCTAACCTGGAAGGAAGTTCAAACAGGAGGTTGTGCGTAACATCCAGCATCTCAATTTTCCTGCAGTCACACACCCAGTCTGGGAGGTACTCCAAGAGGTTCCTGTCTCAACACAAGCAACACACAGACAAACACACACACAAACACTCATCACAGTTGGCATTTATCTGTGATTTAAAAAAAAGGACAAAACAGAACTCTTCCAATAAAACAGTTTGAAATTACCGTATTTTCCGCCGTACACGTCGCACCGCCCTATAAGTCCCATCAGTCCAAATATGTCTAATGAAGTGGAAAAATCCATAACTACGTAGCTTCGCCGTATATGTCGCATCTGTCATGCGTCACCGCTGACCACCCAGAAATGTGGACTGGGGTGTGCCAAAAATCGATTGGCTGCCAAATGGCGGCAGTAGGAACGTGCACAGGAGGACTTTAACAAGAATTTAACAAGATTACACCTAAAAACAATTATTTGTTTGCTTGACATTACAGCAAAGGTGTGTCTCAGTTGAACTTTTACTTAATAAATGCACTTTAATGGTCAGATCAGCTGCATTTCACCGGGGCAGCGCGGCAAATGAAGCTGATTTAACGGTTGCTCCAGGCAAGCTAGACGAAAGTGGGAGGCTAAGGCAAGCCGATTGTGTCATTAATAGCCACCTTTACCTATTACATGACACAATGGCATGCCATACTACTCGAGTGCCATCTAGCGGCTGAAAATATTAGTGTTCAATATTTTCAGTCAGAATGAATGAAAATGGTCATATCTCAGTTAAAAATTGGTTTATAAATATGGAAAAAATCCATAAATACGTCGCTTCGGCGTATAAGTCGCAGGGCATGTAAATAATGCAAAAAAAAAAAACGTGAATTATAGGCCGAAAAATACGGTAACATTTGATGTTGAATAGAAAATGGAAAATTTTGCATTAGGAGAGATTTTTATTATTTGATCACTGAGTTTGTACAATTAGGCCTACATGCAACAGTAAAATAAAATAAAATAAGAATAGCATATTCCCAGTCAGAACTCACTGTGAAAGGTCCATGTGTGTCAGCTGGCTTGGGACTGGATAGATGTTGACTGTTGTAAGGCCTGTAGGAAAATAAAGATACCAGGCAGCTGAAACATCTGGACTCTTTTTATTTGATGTGCGCTCATTATTTTGATGCAATTTTACATAAAACACAAAGACGTAGAAGCAAATACGGTAGTAGGTAAGGCAATAATAACAGCTAGCTGATGCTGTCTGACTCACAGTTGCTGCTGGCATGAAGCATGCGCAACGTGAAACCACTGAGTGTGAGAGTCTCCAGCTGGTTCCTCTGGCAGTGCAGAGTCTCCAGGTTGCAGACGGAGCTCAGCTCCAGGGAGTCCAAACAGTTGTCTCTTAAGTCTAGCTGGGTCACCTGGCTTAGTGGCTCTAGACTCTCACTTGTAACCCATCGAAGGCCATTCAGTCTGCATTGAAGAAAAAAAAACACGAAAAAAATAGTCCAAACCGCAAGAATTGCAGAAAAATACAATAATTATTAATAATAATAATATAATATATATAATAATGTATTCCTTGCCGTACACAAGCATGAAGAAAAAAAACACGTTGCACTCAGACTCACCCATCAGCCACAGCATTATGACTCGTATAAATGGGTAACACTATTTCTGTTAGAACAAAGTCATGTTATCCCTGGTTTTCACATGGATGACACTTTGGCACCTGCCGCCCACCTAAGCATTTTTGCAGACCAGTCACCTCCCACATGCAAATTCCCTTCTGACTTTAGTTGTACTGCAGTGGGTTTTGCAAAAAGAAGTCTACTGTGGTCCTGAATAACAAAATAAATAAATACATTCTGAGGTGTTCTCTAGACACAAGTAAATTGAAACCAGATCGCATCTGTGTGAAGCAAACGTTTAAAGCTCTCACTTGACAGTCCAAAAGGCTCAAAGAAAACTGGTGAGAGATGTGTTGCTGCTTTATTTTAGTAGAGTGGTCATAATGTTATGGCAGATGTGTGTAGCCAACCAAGGTGAGTATAACTTTTGAGTGCATGGCTTAGATCAAGTCTCACTGTGATCCTATAAGTCATGTTAATAAACAATAACTCCTCTTTTATGGGAAGGGCCAGCCCACTGTTCCATCACAGATGCACCTTGTCCCTATAAACACAACCTGCTGCAGCAAAACCACAACGCCCAAGACTGGATCATTATCTGGTTGTGGTTGGAGTGGTTGCTGGTTTAATCTCCAATGCTGTAGTAAAGCAGTGAGAACAGCTTTCTTCTCACTCACTTCCTGCTGCAGAGGTGCTCCTGAGCAAGGCTCTGCAAACACAACTGTTCATGTGGAGCTGCTAACGGCAGCAAAAACAATTAGCATGACTTCAGTTAGCAGCGTCTGCCATGATCAGCAATCTCTGCTTGCCCCATTCTGCTTAAGTCTCTGCCCCTTTATGCCTTTATCACTTCCTCTGTCCCCTACATCACTCACAGCCCCTCGTGTCATGTTTCTGCACCTCTTTGTCATATGCTGTTTTTCCCTGCCTCTTCATGTCATGTTTTCTTCCGTCATTAAGCCACGCCCCTGTCTGCGCTTTCAGCTCATCAGCCCTGATTCACTGCACCTGTTTTTGGCCTTATTTAAGAGCTCCACTTTCACTTGTCCAGTGCCAGATTATTAAACCTCTCATGGTCCCTGATTTTCAAGCCATTCATAGTTTCATGCCTGAACCTCAAGCCTTGTGTTTTGGCTAGGACCTCACGCCTGCCTCTTGGATTTATCTCTCTGCCTGCCGCTCGTCTGGTTTTGCTCTGCCCTTCTGACCCTGGTACGACAACTTTTTCTGGCCCTTTGACTCTGGATTTTTGATTACCCCTTGCATCTGTTTAAAGAACTCTGACTCCCCATGCTTGACCCCTGCCTTGCCTTCTGGATCACAACCCTACCTCTTCTGGATCCTCTCCCTGGCTGCAGCTGCAATTATAAATAAAACTGTTTTCATTATTTTACCCTTGTGTCTTGTCATTCTGAATCCAAAAGCCTGGTTTTGTGACAGCGTCTTCCTCTCTGGGTCGCTGGTGCCCACGTCCAGCAGTCACTGTGCATCACAGGGACACAGAGACAAACAACCATTCACTCTCTCACTCACTCCTAGAGACAATTTAAAGTTACCAATCAGTCTAACATGCATGTTTTTGGGCTGTGGGAGGAAACCGGAGTACCCGGAGGAAGCCCACGCATGCACAGAGAGAACACACAAACTCCACCCAGCAAACTTCTCGCTGAGAGGCCACAGCTCTACTAACTGTGACAACTTTGAAAAGGTAATTAGTTACAAATACAAGTTACTCCATTTAAACTGTTATTGTGTTGTAACGATCTCAGCCATTGTATGATTGTAATGTAACTTACTGGCATTCTGTAAATACAGATTTAAATTTTGAATAAATGTTAACTGCGGTGACTGTGGCAGTTAAATGTTTTCAAATGTTTAAAATTGGCCGAGATGATTTTAGGCAGCATGGAGGCGCAGTGGTTAGAGCTGTTGCCTCACAATGAGAAAGTCGTAGGATTGCCTCCAGGACTTTCTGTGTGGAGTTTGCATGTTTTTCTTGTGCTCTTGTGGCTTTTTGTCCAGATATTCCAGTTTCCTCCCACAGGCCAAAAACATGCATGTTAAGCTGACTGGTAACTCTAAATTGTCCCTAGGTGAGAAAGAGAGAGAGAGAATGGTTGTTTGTCTTGTTTGTCTGTGTGAGTCCCTGTGATGGACTGGAGACCTGTCCAGGTGTCCCTGTGATGGACTGGAGACCTGTCCAGGTGTCCCTGTGATGGACTGGAGACCTGTCCAGGTGTCTCTGTGATGGACTGGAGACCTGTCCAGGTAATAATAATAATAATGTCATCACTGTATTTTTCCATTCAATGGCAAAATTAGTCTCTGAATTTAACCCATCCTCCACCAGGTGGTGCAGTGGGCGGCTATTGAAGGCACCTGGGGGGCATTTTGGGGATAGGGTGTGCTGCCCAGAGACACAACGAGGTATGCAGTGACCGGGGATCGAACCTGGGACTTTCGGGTCCTGAGCCAGCTGCCCTGCCTCTACACCATCTCAGCTCCCATGTGCCCCTGTGATGGACTGGAGACCAGTCCAGGTGTCCCTGTGATGGACTG